CCTTTTAGGTAAAGAAACTTGTACCTTTGCTAGACACCCCCACACTTTGAAATATTTTAAGTTGGATTTTCTTCCTTTCTATTTTTCATATGGAATAGATTGCGTTTTGCTGTGGGATACTCTGTTGAGTATTCGGTTAACTGTAAGGATAGCTTTGTCCCACAAACTCTGCGGTAATTCGGAACTTATTAATAAAGAATTCATCATTTCCTTTAATGTCCGATTTTTTCTTTCCGCAATTCCATTGGATTGAGGTGTGTAAGGTGCAGTAGTTTGATGGATAATTCCATATTCCGAACATATTTATGCAAATGGAAATTCATATTCTCCACCCCTATCACTTCTAATCATTTTGATCTTTTTATTCAATTGATTCTCCACTTCATTCTTGTATTGCTTAAATGCTTCAATTGCTTCATCCTTACTATTAAGCAAATAAACATAACAATATCGAGTGCAGTCGTCAATAAAAGTAATAAAATACTTTTTCCCACCTCGAGATGGTGTCGACTTCATATCACAAATGTCAGTATGAATTAAGTCTAAAGGATTTGAATTCCTTTTAATAGACTTATAAGGATATTTTACAAACTTAGACTCAACACATATTTGATATTTTGATTTATTACACTCGAATTAGGCAACACTTCTAAATTAATTAACTTCCGCAAGGTTTTGTAATTGACATGTCCTAAACAAATATGCCATAAATTATTTGACTCCAATAAATAAGAAGAAGTTGCAATTTTATTCATACTGTTAAAAACCATTACATTTAGTTTGAAGAGGCCCTCTGTGAGGTAGCCCTTTCCAACATACATTCTTGCTTACAACAACTTTATCAGAAATAAATACACATTTGAATCCGTTCTTAACAAGCAAAGAAGTAGAAACTAAATTCTTTCTAATAGTAGGAACATGAAGAACATTGTTGAGCGTTAACACTCTGCCGAAAGTCATCTTCAGGAATATTTTCCCATAACCTTCAATCTTGGCTGTTGCAGTATTTTCCATGGAAAGCTCTTCTTCGGGACCAGCAGTAGAATAAGTCGCAAATGCTTCCTTGACAGCACAAACTTGTCGAGTGGCTCCAGAGTCAATCCACCACTCCTTCGGATTTCCAACTAGGTTGCATTCCGAAAGCATTGCACACAGATCATCAATATCATAATTCTTCTCCACTATGTTGGCCTGTCCCTTCTTCTTATACTTTTTGGGGAGATGACAATCAGGGGCTTTGTGACCGGTTTTTCCACAATTGTAGCAGCTGCCCTTGAATTTTTTTTTGTTCTGCTCCTTAGTCTATCCAGAAGACCTCTTTCTCTTCTTGNGTGGTAAGCCAGAAGAACACTCTTTGCTGCCATCCTTTGAAGTTGGCTCCGGAAAATTTTCCCGATTTCTCTGCCGGTGGAACGGCAGTCTGGCTTGACGAGGCTTTCGTCGTTCCCGCAATAGTCGCAGAAGAATTTCCGTTATCAATTGTCATTTCTCACTGTAAACAACAGAAGAGTTCAATTAATGGAAAAATCAGAACAGTACACAATACTGTTATTAACAAAAAAAAATAGTATGTATAAAAACCGAAGTTTTTATATACTGTTTTACAGAAAAACGATGAAGTTTTTATGTTCTTCAAATCGTCTTACGAATTTCAATACTCTGATGAAGTTTTTATATCTTTAAATCAGAATAGTAAAATTCAGAAGGAGTAGAAAATCACACAGGTTTTAATCTCTACAAACAAAATACAGAATATAAAAAAAAATTAATTTCCTTAAGATTGTTATTATTCTGTATTGCTATAATAAATAATTAAACTTTCTAAAAAAATAAAACAGAAAGTTAGTAATACTTGTTTAACGAAATAGATTCTGGAAAACAAGAAAACAGTATAGGAATAAATCGAGCCCACTGAATACACAGTGTGTCCTTAAGAAAATTATTCCCCTAAAGTACCCAAGGTGCTGGAATATATCCTCACAGGATAGAACGATTTAACTCACCAGTGTATAGGTACCAAAACTCTCATGAACTGTGAACCACTCAATGGGGGTGTTTGAAATATTGCGGGAAAAATATATTTAAAATAATCCGGGAAAAAAAACGGGCCTGACCGAACCGGGTCGCGCC